AAAAAAAAAAAAAAAAAAGGAAAGGAGAGTACGGAGATGATAGCCATAGAGGCCTAGAATATGAGAACATGAGGGCAGACAGCTCTACAAAAGATTATCTGAATAGAATGTTTGGCAGGTTTGGACATAGTGAGAAGAAATTTATACTTCTGACAGAGACTTTCAGGGGGGAAAATGATAAATTAGCGATGGTATAAAGAAAACAAAAGTGGGACCACGTTAACTCTAGGAAAAAAAATTTATAAAAATGCATTGATAGGCTCCAATATGAACATTGGTAAACATTGTTTGTACAGCCATAGGACTGTATCTGTTAAATAACAATCTAACAATTTGTGTGGGTATGTTCTAGAAACTGATCTCAGCACTTTCACACTGAGTAATATCCCCAGGCTTTTTTTAAAAATTTTGAGATAAAAACTCAGTAAACCACCGAGTTGCTCATGCTGGGTTCAAGCTTGTGCTCTCTCACTTCATCCTCTCTACAGGCATAGTCAACCATACTAGGCTTAACCAAAAAACTTCTGATAGTATTGGTTAAGATGATGAATGGAAAGGGGGTGGACCATGATGTGTAAGAAAGCTCCATTCTAGGTGCTCACCTGTTATTCCAGTTTGTCAGGAAGACTGTAAGATTAAGGCCAGCCTGGGAACCTAGAAAGGCCCAGTCTCAACAAACTTTTAAAGAGCACAAAGGATACTGCTCAGTGGTATATATTGCCCAGAGTGCCTATCCATTCAATTCCCAGGATGAACGGAGGACAAAAAGGAGAAGGAACAGGAAGAGGAGGAAGAAGAAGAGGAGGAGGAGGAGGAAGAGGAAGAGGAGGAAGAGAAAGAGGAGGAAGAGGAGGAGGAGAAGCAAGAGGAGGGAGAGGAAGAGAGGAGGAGGAGGAGGAGGAGGAAGCTCAATCTTACCCTTTGTCTCACTCTTCTCTTGTTGCTAGGACAAATACCTGACACACAAAATAAAGGAAGGAAAAGTTCATTTAGCTTACAATTACTGGAGGTTTCAGTCCATACTCAGCTGGCTCCAAGGCAGAGGGGCACATGGCAGAGATCAACCTTTCATGGTGGCGGCAAAGAGCAGAGCAAATGAGAAGAGTAGCAGCAACAAAGGCTAGAGAGAGCAAATCTCTCTCCTTTTTATTATACTGCCTTCAGGCTATCTGCAGCAGACTGGGTGTAGTGCTCACACCCATAATCCCAGCAGTACTCAGACTCCTAAACTCAGCAGTACTCAGACCCATGGTCCCAGCCTTGGATCATGAAGCAATCACAAATTCCAGAAGCCATCTCATGCCCCTTTACTACATGAGGCTTTGGGGAGACACCTAGACACAAACCATAACATCCTTTTACATTTGGAACTGAATATTCTAAAGTGGGGGGGTCAAGAAGCAGCAATATATAAGATTTATTAAAAAAATACTATGGAAATTAGCAAGGGTTAAGAGAGATAAAAATAATTGTCTTTGAATAGTGAAAATTAAAATCCTAGAATAGCAAACTTGTTTTTATTTCTTTATTTTGTATATCTTATCAATCTACTTGAAAATTTTTTTTTTTTTAAAATTTTTATATGTATGTGTGTGTGTGTGTGTGTGTGTGTGTGTGTGTGTGTGTGGCCAGCTCAGCCCACCAGGGGGCAGGGCTGGCTGGCATGTGGTGCTGGGGGATTGAACCGTGGTCCCTCTGATTTGCTAAGCTTGTTCTAAGTAGATGCTTTAGACCACTGAGCCATCTCACCAGCCCTACTTGAAAATTTTAATTTGTATATGTATAGCATGCATTATGCTTTCCTTAAGTTTTTTATTTAGAAATAAAGACTCAATGTTCAGAACAGAAATCAAACCTGGCAATAAAGAGCAATGACAATTAAGTATACAGTGGTAGTGAAATTACAGAGATTGGGAGAGGTATGCAGAAGAAAAAATACAGGATATAAACATGGAAGATGAGAACACAGGAAGGGTGTTTAAGGACGATGAGGGGAGGGGATGAGAGAAGGAAACAAACCAAACCCAGCCCAGGATTATCCTAGCTCCAATTATGTTCCTGCATGCTGCCCTCTTTTCTTAGTGCTACCTATAGGCAACTTGATCTGAGCCACCTAAGCATAAGCACGCTTTGCTTTTATGTCATTTTCTTTTCCCTAAGGTCAATGGTATTCGCATACAGTGTGTGGATGGGATCTGTTAAAACAGAATACTCAAGTCAAACCACAGAGTACCTTGTGTCCAAAGTCGTCATATATCCGGGATACAAAGATGGAAGCGCAGACATCGCTTTGCTGAAACTGTCCTCCCAAGTCACCTTCACTTCTCTCATCCTGCCCATCTGCTTGCCCAATGTTACAAAGCAGCTAAAAATTCCAGCCTCTTGCTGGGTGACTGGATGGGGACAAGTTACGAGAGGCACAGGTGAGAATGAGCAGAAAGAAGGGTTAAATCATCAGCAATGGCAAACTTGTACAGCTTTCAATGGTAACTTGTAGCCCACTCTTGGCATACATGTCATAGGTTCAACACTACAGGCTTATGTGTTGCCCTTTTATATCTATTCCAGCACATTTATATTCTAGGTACATCCTTACTACAGCCAATATTTTTCTTTTTTTTTTTCTTCTTCGGTATTTTAGGGAAGGGTCTACAGGGTGTTCAGGATCTCACTACTAGATTGGACTCAGTGATTCTCCTGTTTACAGCCTCCCAAGTGCTGGGATTACAAGTGCGTGACACTACACCCAGTCTCAATTGCTGGCTCAGTGCGCCCCGGAGGTGGGGCTGCAACAGCAGGCCTGGGGATCAAAACCCCAGCCCCTGTTCCTGCTTTCAGGCACTTTATAATCCACTGAGCTATCTGGCCAGCACTAACAAGTATTTTTCAACAAAATCAGGCCGAACTAAAGATTTTATCTGTAAGTCTTCCAAAGATGCTTTTTTTTGGGGGGGGTGGGTGCGGAACTGAGGATTGAACTCAGGCCCTTGTGCTTTGCCAGGGAAGCACTTATTCCACTGAACCATCTCCCTGGCCGCAAAAGATGCTGTTTTGACATTTACATGTTTATTCCATTTACTCTTATATACTACTTAGAATCTAGCTATAGCTGGAAGAGTGGACACTAGTAATTTAAATACATAATCACCTCTTTCAAAAAGAGGTTCACCATTAGCCAAAGCAATCAGGCAAGAGAAAGAAATAAAAGGGTTACATATAGGAAAGGAAGAATTGAAATTACCACTATTTGCAGATGATATGATCCTTTATATAGAAGACTCAAAAGATTTCTAGAATTAATAAATTCAATTATATAGCAGGAAATAAAGTCAATAAAATAGTATTTCTAAACTCAATGAAAAAAAATTAGGAAAACAATATCATTCATGATAGCAGAAAGGAAAATTAAACACTTAGGAGTAAATCAAGGAAATGAAAGACCTACACAATAAAACCAGCAGGACTCTGAAAAAGTGACATCAGAAAAATTGAAAGACATTCCATTTATAGACAGGCAGAACCAAAACTGTCAAAATGACCATATTCCCAAAACTGATACACAAGAGTTAATGGCAACTCAATCAAAAAATACTAACAAAATTCCTCACACAACAATGCTAAATTTCAAACAAAAACAGAAGGGATCAGAATAGGCAAAACAATCCTACACAATATAAGCAAAGTTACGTTACAAAATTATAGTGATGCCCATAGCACAGTGCTGACATAAAAACAGACATGTGGGCCAATGAACTAGAACAGAGAATACAGAAACAATCTTGGCACATATAATCACCTGATTTTTGACAAAGGGGTCAAAAACACACACTGGAGGAAAGATACCTTCTTTAACAAATGGTGCTAGAAAAAATGGGTGTTCACAAGCAGAATATTGACGCTAGACTTGTATCTCCCACCATGCACTAAGCTAAAATCAAAATTGTTAAAAAGATCTACATTAAAACAGAAACTACCTGCTGGAAGATAAAGGTAAGTAACACTTTTTAAGTCATAGTACATTAAAACAGAAACTACCTGCTGGAAGATAAAGGTAAGTAACACTTTTTAAGTTATAGTACATTAAAACAGAAACTACCTGCTGGAAGATAAAGGTAAGTAACACTTTTTAAGTCATAGGCATAGGCAAGGACTTTCTGAATAGAACTCTTAACGACACAAGAAATAGTATTTTTTAAAAATGGGGTTGAAGGGCTGGTGAGGTAATTCAGCAGACTAAGTGCCTGCTTTGGCAAGCTCAGGGACTAGGGTTTGAGCCCTGGTCCTGCATACTGTGTGGGCCCCACCCCCAGGGAATGCTGAGCCAGCAACTGAGTCCTGGCCTGGTGGTGCACACCTATAATCCCAGTTCTGGGGAGGATGAAAACAGGAGAATCACTATGAGTTCTAGCTCTGTAGTGAGACCCTGTACCAAATACATAAATGAAAAAAAAAAAAAAATGGGGCTGGGGAGATAGCTCAGTGGTGTAAGCCCCTACCCAGCAAGCATAGGGACCTGGGTTCAACTGCTGGTACTGCATGCTGGTGATGCCAGCCCCAAAACTGGGCATGGTGGTGCACACCTGTAACCTCAGCACTGGGGAGGCTGAGACAGGAGGATCACTGAGTCTAAACTGCATATAGAGACCCCGTACAAAATAAAGAAAAGATCAAAAAAAATTTTTTAAAGAAATATTAAAAAATCAACAAAAGGAATCTTATCAAATTAAAAAGCTTCTGTACAACAAAAGAAACAGTGAAAAGACAAGCTACAAAATGTGAAAAAACATTTATAAGCCATATTTCAGACAGGATTAATATGTGGAACATATAAAGAACTTAAAAAACTAGGCCTATGAAATAAAAAACCCAATAGACAAATGAAATGAGTAGAAATTTCTTAAAAGTACATATGCCCAATAAACATGTGAAGAAATGGTCAGTATCACTGGCCATTAGAGAAATGCAAATTAAAACAACATTAAGATTCTATCTTACCCTCTAAAAACTGACCATCATCAAGAAATCAAATAATACTGGTGAGGTTATAGGGAGGTGAGGGAACTCTTCTATATTGTTGGTGAGCGTGTAACAACCATTATGAAAATCACTAGAGACTCCTTAAAAACATAAAATACAAATTCCATTTGACCCAGCTACTCCTCTGCTAGTTATCTTCCTGAAAAAGTTAAAGGCATCATTGTACAGTGGTTCATGCAAAGTCATGTTAATAGCAGCAGACCTCACAACAGCTACATCTTAGAAGCAGCCTATATAGCCATCAACAGATGAATGGATAAGGAAGTACTACTCTGCTACAAGTAGAAAAACTTGACTCATTAGTAGAAAAATGGATGCACCTTGAATCCATAATGTTAAATAAAATAGGCAGACAAGTTTAAAAATTGTATGGTTTCTCTTATACAAGAAACACAAAGAGCAAAATAAAAAGAGAATATAAAATATTATAGGGAGATAGATCTATGGAAAATGAGAAGGGGACTAAGGTGGAGAGAGGGGGAGAGGAAAGGGCAAAGGGAAAGGGATGCAAAAATTAAGCCATGTCATGTACTACCCACAACAAATGTACTCATAATATGGCAGAACTAATTTTTTTGAATCACTATGAAAAAGAGGTTACCTTGATTTAAAGTTTGGAAGGAGTGGGCTGGGGAGATAGCTCGGTGGACTAAACACCTGCCTGGCAAGGTGCAAGGACCTGGCTTCGATGCCTGGTACCACATGCTATGCTGGCCCTGGAAGCCCAGGCGTCCTATGACAGACACTGAAACTGGGCATGGTGATGCACGCCTATAATCCCAGCACGGGGAGGCTGACACAGGAGGATCACCATAAGTCTGAGCTGTGCAGTGAGACCCTGCATCAAATAAATATTTATAAACAATTTTTTAACTAAAGTTTGGAAGGAGTCCAGCGTTTTTTACATGTTTTTCAACTGTTATATAAACTTTCCCCCAAGATGAAATAAAGATAACACAAGAACTGATTGGGGGTAGGAAAATTGGAAAAGTTTTAGGATATCCACATCCTTAATCAGAAGGTAAAAGAATTACTTTTTATTTAGAACACCAACACAAGAGAGAACATTCAAACAAAAAAACTTCTGTATTCTCCACTGTTTTAGAATTAACCATACCAAAAGTTTTTCCTATAGAAAACTCTGACTGGAAAGTCATTTATCTGCCCTGGTACTTTTCCAGGTTGTTTTAACTTTTCATTTTTGTCTTCTTCTACAGTCCATAATTACCCTTCTACTCTCCAGGAAGTGGAAGTGCCTATCATTAACCACCAGGACTGCGACCGTCTCTATAACCCCGTTGGCGCTTTCATCCCAGGACTGGAGCCAGTCATTAAGGAAGACATGATTTGTGCTGGAGGCTTACAAAGTGGGAAGGATAGCTGCAAGGTGAATGTTGGTGCTTGACACTGTGTTTTAAAATACCTTAATTCTGATCCAGGTTTTCCTATCTGTAAATAATAGAAACCTAGAAGCTAGGAAATAAGGGATCTGGCAGTAATTCTTGTGTTACCCTGGACAAACACTAAAAAAATTAAACAATCTCTTCCACTTCTAGACCAACATTAACCATTAATCATTAGATATACAGATGTATATACACCTTCAAGAATATAGTAAAGTTGATAAATACCAAATTTTTATTTTTGTAGATGTTCCAGTATGTACTTTTATTTTTATTTTCCCAGATTTTATTGGTACATTTTAGTAAAATGATCACATTTAGCATAGAAAATTTGTATTTGTACATGATATAACCTGTTTCTCTTTTTCCTATTCCCCAATCCCTTCAATGACATCCCATTTACAAAAGCTTTGTTTCTATTTTGCCTTTTCTCATTTTTTTCTTTTCCTTTCCCCCCTCTCCTCCCTTATTTCCTCCCTATTTGAACATTTTCTTCCTATTTCATAACTATTATACAATTTGGCTCTTATTTACACTTTGGTTTCTCACACCAGAGAAATGATGCAATATTTACATCTGTGTCTGAGTCATCCTAAACATGTACTGAGCTTATCCTTCTTTATGGCAGAGCAATACTACATGGTATAAAAAAAAAAAAAGTGTCCTTTAACCATTCACCAGCTGATGGGCATTTAGGCTGTTTCCAAGGTTTGGCTATTACAAACTAATGCTGCCATATACATGGGTGTGCATATACTGTTGTGTTACAATGCTTTCAATTCTCTCAGGAAGGTACCAAGAAGAGAAATAGCTGGGTCAAATAGAACCTCTGGTCTTAATTTTTTCAGGAATCCCCATATTGATTCCATAGTGGTTTTACCCAGTGTATACTCCCACCAACAATGGAGAAGAGTTCCTTTTCCCTTACAACCCCATCAGCATGTCTTAATGGTTGATTTCTTGATGACAGCCATGTAAGATGGAATTTTAGAACTGTCTTAATTTGTAATTCTTGAGTGACTGGTGATGTTGGAAAGTTTTTCATATATTTATTTGCTGTTTCCACTTCTTCCACTGAGAAGTGTTTATATTCATTACAGAAGCCCACATTTTGATTTGGTTTTTACATTTTGGAGTTTGATTTGTTTTTGAATTCTTTAAATATTCTAGATAGTAATTCTTTGTCAGAAGGACAGCTGGCAAACATTTTTTCCCACGCTGTGGGTTCTCTTCACGCCACTGGTGGTTTCTCCTTCTGTATAAAAGTTTTTTAGAAAGATGAGATTCCAGCTGTTGGTCTCTGTGACAGTTCCTGTGAAATCAGGGCTTTATTCATAAAGTCTTTGTCTAGACCAATGTCTTCAAGAATTCTACCTATTCTGTGTTCTGGTATATGTAGTATTTCTGTCTGAATATTTAGATCTTTGATCCATTTTTAGTTTAGTGCATTGTGAAAGATACATGTCAATTTTAATCCTTGGCATGTGGAAAGCCACTTTTTGCAGCATTTATTAAACAGGCAGTATATAATTCTAAATATGTCATTCTGTCATCTTGATCATAACTGTCTGGTAAAAAGTCAGCCACCAGGAGCTGGAGGTACAGCTCTGTGTTAGAAGTCTTGCCTAGCATCTACAAAGCCCTCAGTTCCAGCCCCAGCATCACAAAATAAATAAATGAAAGAAATGAGCTGGCCAGATAGCTCAGTAGATTAAAGCACTTGCTTAGACAGATGCATGGGCTGGGGGCTTGATCTCTGGCCTGCTATGCCAGCCCCGCCCTCAGGGTGCACTGAGACGGCGACTGAGACTGGGCGTGGTGGTGCACATCTGTAATACCAGCACTTGGGAGGCTGAAAACAGGAGGATCACTACAAGTCCACTCTGTGTAGTGAGACCCTATAGACCCTGTACTAGATACGTAAAATTAAAGAACAACGAATAAATGAAAGAACAGAACAGAAGTCAGAAAAGTCCTAGGAATAGAAAAATGTACTTGCTTATCAAGGGCATATGGAACAGTCTCCAGATAAGCTATAAAACAAGCCTTAAAAAATATTTTCTATTATGTTGAGCTGTAGGGGACTCAGGTCAACAATTTCTGACACTGCCAGTGAAGTGGAAGACCCAATACTATTATGGACTACTGAACTCTTTTAGAATATTTTGCTGAGTTTACACACCTATAATATTAAAATGATGGAACTTAACAAAAAAAAGGGGATACAGATGAATGTCAATTTTGTATCTGTGTATTCAAAGTGGTTAGGATAGATATATAGTTACATTCTCTTAATGAATAGAGGGATTTGTTCTAATGATGTTTGTAAATAGGATATCAAGTCTGCATCTTGTACAGCAATTAACCACTAGGAAGAATGTATGAAATGTGTTAATTATTGAAACTGTCCTACCACTTTGGTTTGAAACTGTCTCATTGCTATTTGTTTCTCAATAAAACTATGGGAAAAAAATATCTAACTACAGTGGAATAAAAAATAACAGATCTATGGAAAGATAAGATATGGAAATTAACATGATCTCAAGTATCTAACAGGTCAAAAAAGAAATCACAGGTAGGTACATTAGTATATGCATATAATCCCAGGAATTATTATTATTTTTTTAGACAGGGTCTCGCAATGTAGCCCCGGCTGGCCCCAAACTCACAGCAATCCATCCTTTTGCCTCATCCTCCTGAGTGCTGGGATTATAGGTATGTATCACCATGCCCAGCAAGCCTAGCATTTGAAAGGCTGAGGCAAGAAAATCACAAGATTAAGGCCAGGCTGAGCAACTCACCAAAAACCACAAAAGAAATTAGAAAATCTTTTCAGAAAAAAAATTTTTTTGTTTGTTTTGCTATTCTTCTGTTGAGATAGGATCTCACTAGGTAGTTCAGGATGGTTTTGACCTCACTATATAGCCCAGGTTGTCTTCAATCAGCAGGCATTCTACCTCACCCTAAGCACTGGGATCACAGGCATCTGCCACCATGTCTAGGGGAAATGTTTTGACATGAACAAAAATGAAGAAAACATACATACCAAATCTATGGATGCAGTGAAAGCAGTATTTAGAATAAAATACATAACAGTAAATGGCTATATTTTTTAAAAATCTCAAATTAAAACCTAACATTTCATATTAAGACATTACACAAGGGGGCTAGAGATATATCTAAGTGGTAGAGCACTTGCTCAGAAAGAATAAACAAAGAAATAAGGATTATAGTGAAAGTTACTTAAATAAAGAACAGAAATACAGAAAACAGATAAAAACAAACTTTTTTTTCTATTATGCCCTTCTGGTTTTATTTATTCTTTCAAGTTCTTATAGCAGGGAGACATTATGGTATTTACATATGTGGGTCTGATTTATTTTCTAAAAAATATTAATAGAATTAAAAAAAACTTTAGCGGGGTTTAACAAGAGAAAAAAACTCAAATATTAAAGTTAGTAAAATCTAGTGACAAAATAAAGGACAATACTATCAGTCTTTAAGAAATAAAGAATGGCTCTTTCAGCCCCGCTCACAAATAGACCCGTAGTCATGGGCCACATGATCCGTGGACAGAGGAAGGGTGCTCTGATTCTGTGTTTAGTGTGCACAGGAAGCATCGCAAGGGTGCAGCTTGTCTATGCACTGTGGACTTTGCAGAACAATATGGCTACATAAAGGGCATCGTGAAGGACATTATCCACAACCCGGGCTGCAGTGCATCCCTCATTAAGGTGGTCTTCCAGGACCCATACCAATTCACAAAGCCTACTAAGTTGTTCATCGCCACAGAGGGCATCCACATAGGCCAATTTGTGTATTGTGGCAAGAAGGCCCAACTCAACATTGGCAATGTTCTCCCTGTGGGCACCATGCTTGAAAGGACCATCGTTTGTTGCCTGGAGGAGAAGCCTGGGGACCATAGTCAGCTTGCTCAAGCTTCTGGGAACTATTCCACTGTCATATCCCACAACCCTGAAACCAAGAAGACCAGAGTGAAGCTGCCCTCAGGTTCTAAGGTCATCTCCTCTGCCAACAGAGCTGTTGTGTGTGTAGTAGCTGGCAATGGCAGAATTGATAAATCTATCTTGAAGGTTGGCTGAGCCTACCACAAACATAAGGCAACGTGTACATGGTGTGGCCATGAATCCTGTGGAGCATCCCCTTGGAGGTGGTAACCACCAACACATCGGCAAACCCTCAACCATCAGAGATGCCCCTGCAGGGTGCAAAGTGGGTTTTATTGCTGCTCACAGGACTGGGTGACTCTGTGGAACCCAGACAATGCAGGAGAAAAGAGAACTAGAGCTGAAGGGCTCAATAAAGTTTTGTCTTTGGAAAAAAAGAAAAGAAATAAAGAAATGGACACAGACAGGGTAAACCGAACTGCATATATTGCAGGTTAATAGTAAGCTTCTCTTCTGGAGGGTTAACAACCTAAGTTAGCAGTTCAAAATTAGAGAAAAGGAAGGGCTGCAAGGTCAGCCAACATTTTGGCCCTAGCCTTTCAAAATCAGTGAAGACTTGGGACATAGGAGAACCTGTACTGTAACATCATGTAACTCATCATCACTGCAGAGGGCATCCACACGAACTCCAAATTTTCTGAACAAGGAGATTATGGGGCCACAGAGGAACGTGATCGATGATGTATAGTGTGCTTGGGGAGAGTCACATGGAGAGGAAAAAACATTCTCTCAGGCCTTCACAGAGAGCAAATTGGTCAAGCAATGGCTGTGACTCATCCTCATGGCTGACACTGATCTACAAAGTGTGGTACAGGGCTATAGGATAAATCCTGAGGGTACTTGACTGATCTTATCAGATACAAAAGTTACATTTCTTGTTATATAGGTCTTGCTTTATCTTGGTCTTAACCATCCAGCAAAAAAGTATAAAAACAAGGTATATAAAGTAAAGCCAGGGGCTGGTGAGATGGGTCAGTGGTCTAAAGCACCTATTTAAAACAAGCTTAGCAAAGCAC